CGGAAAAAGCTGTCGTCCACTGGACTCATGGATCCGCTCCTGAGCGCGCTCGTCGAGAGCCCGCTGAAGGTTATCCAGTCGAGTGCGCTCAGCCAAGTTAGCTAGGCGTACCTCCTCCAAGGCTCGAGCCTCGGGGGTTTCTCCAATGATAGGTGTGTGAGTGCATCCATGTTGCGGCGACGAAGTTCTTCCCTCTGCTGCGAAGAGAGGGGTTCGGGTCGGTATTCCTCGTGGCCGCGCGACGGATTGCCGCCCCCATATCCACCGCCTTCATGGAGGAAACCGGGGGCTGTGAGGTCCGTCGACCATCAAGACTTCAGCCGCAGGGTCGCTGTTATCGCACTCTGATGCGGTCTCCGCGAAGCTAGTCGACAGGTCGAACAGGCCATGGAGAGTTTCGTCGGGCTCGATTGCCGCGACTTGATGGGTGGTCGAACGTCGAGCCACCACGTGCTTCATCCACCGCTGAAGCCACGATCGACCGGATCGCTTGCGGCGATGAACGGTGGGGAGTGAAAACACCGTCCGGGTCGACTGATACTGAGTCGACAGCTGCTGAAGGAGAACACCGCGAACACACGCTCGGAAGTGCGTTGCCCCTTGGACGGGGAGCGCCTCAACATCCAGGGGGGCTTCTTGAAGCAACGCGGAGTCGTCGGCGACGAACACGAGCGGGCCGAGACGGATCTTGCGGCCCTCAGCCAATCCGCCGCCAGAAACCATGACGATGATGATCGGAAAAAACTTGCAACTTCACCATCAAGTCGCTAAGATACCGGCCGCAAGGTGGGCGCCAACTGTCGTGGTCCTAAGACTGACAGTAGAAAGGGGGGGAGGTATGGAGAGGCAAGATCTTAGCTATGGTGAAGGTGTACACACGAGATTTATGAGTTCAGGCCCTTCTCGGTAGAAGTAACAGCCCTACGTCTCAGAGCCCAGAGGCGGTCGACTGGATTATGTGTGTTGTATTATAGGGGGTGCGAACCCTTGTGCCAGAGGAGGAGTGTGGCTTATATAGAGTGCGCCAGGACCCTCGCCCCCCTCCATTACAAGGGACTTAATGTACATAAAGTATGGGCGTTACTGGTAACGTCGGCCTTAAGTGCTATTAATGATCTTAAAGACTACGGAGTGAATCCCTGACCGTTACAGCGTTGAGCGACTCCTGGTCTTCGGCATGGTTGAGTGACTCTCCATATGGTCGAGTGACGGTAGGGAGGAAGACCTCCGAGTGATGTGGCCGTCGAGTGGATTGCACTCGACGTGTGCAACCGGGGCTCTCCTGTTGTCTCTTGGTCCTTTTATCTTCTACGGTAGTGACCTTGGGTAGGACGTATAGGTGAGGCCTATGACCCTACCCCATGTCTGTATCCTCGTCACTTACGGAAAAAATAGGAGGTGAGCTAGAGCACCCAAATGCCCTCCCCTCGCTGGCCAGAAAAAACAGAGTGCTCTACCGCGGCGATGGGTATATATAGGCAACCTATTTGCGCCGGTTCGTGGCATGAACCGGAACTAAATCCCTCCCTTCTATACGGGTTCGTGGAACGAACCGGTACAAATGGATGTGGGCCAGGAACGTGGCCCATTGGTCCCGGTTCGTGCCTAGAACCGGGACAAATGGGTCCAGACGAACCGGGACCAATGCCCACGAGGCCCCGGCCGCCCCCCCGGGCTCATGAACCGGGTCTAATGCCCCCCATTGGTCCCAGTTCCTGAAGAACCGGGACTAATGGGCTGGCCAGGCCCGAACCAAATCTCTGTTTTCTACTAGTGACAACAGAAAACTTACACCCCGAAAAGCATGAAAGCAAGGACAAGTCCATATTATATGCACCAACCACAATTTGATTGCAGTTTGTACTAGAAATAAAGATAGGACATGTTCTCTTGGTACTGATCTACAATGGAATTCACAAATATATCTGACATGACGACGTTAGTGAAGTAAAAATTGCATGTATGGAATTGCTAAATAAAAAATTCATAATACAAAATGCATTACAATAAGAAATCTCATGATATTAATTGTGCTTTTTTCCATTGGTTAACATTATTTGTTTTGTACACAAATCGTCCTATAAGAAGCTTCGGCGAGATTAAAGAAAATACGAAGGAAGCATCATGCCTTTTTTTCAGTCGACATATTGTTTTTAGAGGCTGGAAGGTGATCAAGAAAGAATCTCTAGAAGAATATGTTAGGTTGTGCAGCCTATACCAGAGCAAGAAAAAAAACAAATAATTTCAGGGGTTCTAGGACCAAGATGAAGAGAAAAGGTAAAATCAAAATCTCTTCTTCAATAAGCGTAAAATTTTGTGGTATGATAAATTTTTACTAGAAAAATCAAGGAACTATTTCAACTCAGTTTTGTACCTCTGGTTTAGACTGGCTGTGAACTGAGTTACTGAAAAAACTCTTAAAATAATACCTTACTGTTGATGTACCATATATACATAAGATAAGCTTGAGCTCGTATCTGTTACTATCAAAATCTAAGAAGAGACTATTTGAGCAAAATGTATGGCTTCTCTGTTACATTTCCTTGTACTCAAAAGTCAAAACTGATCTAAGTTAAAAGACATTCCTTCAAAAGAAGAATGAGATGCGTTGGTTTTATTTGAGAAAAATAGAAAGGGGAAACTGTTGAAGACTGAGGTAAAGAAGAGAAAAGATATAGATAAAAAATTATGACATATTCTTTCTTCATTCACTTGAAATCTTGAGACAAACATGGATACACATGAGTAGTTTTTGAAACTAGATGATCTGAATGAATGAGAAGAAAAAATTGTTACAAAGGTTCAACAAATTTATTTTTCCTGCAGAGTTAGAACCCAAGTTTTTTTTTACGAACGGGATCAAGTAAAATGACATAATAAGTTCTAGTCTAACTAAACCAGTCTACTCCCATCTTAACTGTGCAGGCAGATCAAGTTACCTTTTGCAATGACATGGACTGTTGAGGTTACCTATTTAGCAGAAACAGGAAATGAGTTTTAGAAGTAAGCTTCTCCAATCAACAAGAGCCATGAAACAGGAATTGGAGAAAAGGAAAAGGAATTACTAATCAGAGGAGAAGAGATTTCGTAATTCAAAAACTTGGCATGACTGACAGAAAGTTATCCATAAGGTTATGGAGGCGAACAAGCCTTCACTTTTCTGCCTACTGCCATAAGATATTTCAAACAAAATCTCGTGGGTGTTATGCCTTGTGTGCCATCCATATAGACGGTTGAAGAATATTTTTGTATGAACCTAGATGGTGAAAAGAAATGAAGACCACATAAGTTAATTTTGTACAACAGAAAGAGAAAACCGACACTGTCGTCAACTTACCAAGAAAAGAAAAATATAAAATCCTTGTTCAGCAGTACCCTTGTCTAAAGCTACAATGCATGTCCTCCAGGAAGGTACCGGTGTTGGTGCAGGGAGCGCGACGTGGATCTGCATTGGTTTGTCGCATTGTGTCACTAATCACGGTACAAGATCATATGATGACGAGGAGATCCCGTACTTTTGTTAGGGTATATGCTTGACGGAATCGAGTCCTCATTGGTGTCAAGCACGTCTGGAGCATCGTCAGCCACCATGTTGGAGCCGGTGTACTCCGTCCTACCCATTGGGCTGGCGTGGCAGTAGATGATGAGGCGGCTGGTGCCCTGGTTCCCTCGGGGCTGCAACAGGAAGAAAGCGTCACATCTGACATTGAGGTGAGGTACACATGGAACTCCGTTTCGAACCAAAAGAAAGGTACACATGGAACATGACGGTGCCGGCGAGCATGGGGCAAGCACAGTTAGGTACAGGAGATGTGGATACAACACTGGCCGATGGGGAGGAGCGGCTATGGCGCTCGATGACAAGCCCTCGTTGCGCATCGTCCAGCTGGTCGGCGGCAGTGCGCGAGGCGCGTCGCCAGTTCCCCACCTCCCTCGCTTCTCTATGGGGCTTTCTTGAGGTTGTGTTGATGCATCGCCTCGCTCCGCCTACAGCAGCCTCGCACTTGTGTACCTCTCCACCTCTGATTTATTGATGACACAAACGATGTCGAGAACTCCTAGATTCTGGATATGGGGGAGGAGGAGGCAGCACAACGGTGTCAGCAGGTGGCGTGTAGGGGAGGTGGGCAGATGGGTTCATGGCGAGAAGGATCGTGGGGGCGGAGAGGTGGTGGTTGGCGGCTTACGAACGAACAAAACAATGTATGAAAGGGTAGAGATATTGGTTGTTAATTAGCAAAGGCAAGGACCGATGCGTAAGCAAAGTTAGGATTTGAAATTGATTGTCATGAAACTGGATTTTATTGTTTGGTAACGTGCTATCCGTTCCTACCGGTTTGTAATGTGTCTGGTTAAGAAAGTTAGGAAAGGTTAGGAAAGTTTTCATTTGGAGGGTGAAAAAACCAACATGAGGAGATGTTGGTGGGGGGTGACGCGAAAATAAACCAGACAAAATTAAACCTGACGAAATAAAATCGTGGAGGCGAGGCTATCAAGTGAGACATTAGGAATAGAGATTTGTTCATGGATATGTAGAGATTTTAAGCAAGTGCATTCGCCGGTAAGTTAACTAACACTAGTGGACATATAACATCATATCCTTACTTAATTAGGTCTCTTGTCGAAAGATAGACACGTTAGACTCTTTTTTCCAGTGGAAAGATACATGTTAGAATTGACATGGAAAAAAGTGTGCAAGTCTCATGTGTACATAGAGAAAGAAGTAGTACTCTAGTACACACAAAAAAGTGACTTCACACTAAAAATAAATTTCTGTTGACATATAAATAGTCGATTCCGTTATAACCACACATGCATGGTGTAAGAAGCTGGGAAATCAACTAACTAATTAAGGAGAGAGAACTAAAAGTGGGAAATCAAAACGCCGACACCTTGGCAGTAATGATAATGTAAACTGGTACCACCAGATATTATTTCGCGTCGTTGCAAATCCTAGTACTTCCATTCATGGCGCGACAATGCAGGCGACGCTGAGCTCATCATGACTCACCTAGTCCCCGTTGTACAGTGTGGCTGAAACCGCCGCCGGCAGCGTCGCAGGAGCATGGACCGCCCTGGCAGCCGCCGCCGCAGTAGGCCTTGCCGTTACCGCAGTAGCCATCCCTGCCGCAGCACAGATTGTCGTCGCACACACGACCACAGCCTCTGTTGCCGCACCGCTTAAGGTCCGAGCTGCAACAGGCTCCGCTCTGGCACCCAGTCCCGCAGAAGGGAGGGCCAAGACCGCACCAACCTGCGTGGCTGCAGCAGAAGTTCCCGGGGCATGGCCTGTGGCTGCCGCATTGCATGCCCTGCGAGCACGCGCCGCTCTGGCAGCCAGCGCCGCAGTACTCGTTGCCGAACCCGCAGACCCCGTCTTGGCCACAACACTGGTTGTTGGGGCACGTCTTGCCGTCGTTCTGCGAGCCACACCGCAAGCTCACGCAGCAGGCGCCGCTTTGGCAACCCTCGCCGCAGAAGTCGGGGCCTAGGCCACACTGCCCATCCTTGCTGCAGCACTTGTTGTCGGGGCACTCCATGCGGCCAGCCTGCTCGCCGCACACCGGGTCCCAGCCGTGGGTGCCATAGCCAAGGCAGCCGAGGAGCACACCCAGCGTGAGGACATTCAGAATCATGGCCGGAGTAAATATCTATATATGTATGTGTACGGGTGAAGTGCGGACTATATGTAAGGGCGCTCCACTTATATAGGCAAGCTCAAGCTGGCCTTCACCCTTTCTCCTTATGCTTCTTCATATACTCCTTCGATCCCACGGTGTAGGATCATTTTTTGCAAGCAAAAAGAAGTAAGTATTACTCCCTCTCTAATGAAATATAAGCATAGTTTTAAATAGCACGCTAAGCCTCTTAGCAACAGACTTCTTCTAAACGTTAAATCGCGGTATTTAAAATGTTTGTTCATGTGTTTCGATCAAAGTACCTTAGCCTAATACCTCCTGCAAATGCTATAGCGTACTATGATGTGCTATTTTGAACCATGGATATAAAAGAGTTTACGTCACTAAAGTAGTGATCTAAACCCTCTTATATTTCTTTGGATGAAGTAGTTATTATACTGGTAAGGCCCACTAGCCCAGTAAGTCTGCCTGCCTCGTGTTAGAGGATATACTCCATAGATAAGCACTCCACGTGAATACTTGCTGGCTAACCCTGTGCTGTAGCAACCAGATGTAGCAAGTAGCCTACATACGGAAAAGGATAGGTGGGAAATATGCCCAGTTGGATTTTCCATTTTACTTAGTGTAGTACGGCTTCCAGGGGTGTTGGCCGAAATGTCCAAAGTCGGTGATCCCCTTTCTCTAGTTTCGCTACTATATGCGCAATTACCTGTTAGAGATACGCACCATGTGTTTCTAGCTACTTTATTTGGAGCTGTACGAAAAAAGCGAAGGCGTTTATATACATATCTTACGTAAAATCCTTTCGTATGTCTAGTATTTTTGTATGGAAAAAGGCATACATGTGGAGTGCATCGATGCCATCCATAAACGCCAGATCTAAATAAAGAGTGTTTCGCCACTCGGAAGATCCACCCAAGTTGACATCTACACTTCGCCATTTTTTCCTCTTATCCTTTGTGCACGACATTTTTAAGTAGTCTTCTTGTCGGCGCGCCTGGCCAGCGACTGAAAGGTCGTACTCCGCGTTTAGTGCACACAAGCTCATGCCACCAGCTAGTCTAGTATCAGTATCTTTTTCTTCAATAGACCGAAGTACAGGCGAAGGTGCCGTTTTGGCAACCCTCGCCGCAGAAGTCGGGGCCTAGGCCACACTGCCCATCCTTGCTGCAGGACTTGTTGTCAGGGCACTCCATGCGGTCAGCCTGCTGGCCGCACACCGGAGCCCAGCCGTGGGTGCCATAGGCAAGGCAGCCAAGGAGGGCGCCCAGCATGAGGACCTTCAGAATCATGGCCGGAGATATTATGAACTCCGATATATGTTTGTGTACGGTTGAAGCGCGGACTATATGCAAGGCCGCTCCATTTATATAGGCAAGCTCAAGCTGGCATTCCCTTCTTCCTATACTTCTTCATATACTCCACGTGAAAACTTGCTGGCTAGTTGTGATGTAGTAACGCGAACCAATCTATGGTTTGACGGTTAGAGGGACAGTTGTATCCCTAGCCCACCAGAGTTCAAATATATCCTATTATATTCCTTTATGGAGGGAGTTGCATACATAAGAAAAATGATGTGGGTGGGACATATGCCCATTTGGATTTTCTTTTTTACTTATTGTAGTACAGCTTCCAGGAGTATTGGTCGAAATGTCAAAAGTTGGTGATCCCCTTTCTCTTGTTTGGCTATTATATATATAAGCAATAACCTGTTAGAGATACGGACCACGTGCTTCTAGCTACCTTATTTCGAGCTGTACGACAAAAGTGAAGGGATTTATACTTAGCTTACATAGAAACCTTTCGGAGTGCATTTTTATACGAAAAAGACAGACATGTGGAGTGCATGGATGCCATCCATAAACGCCAGATCTAAATAAAGAGTGTTTGAGTTCTACTCAAGTCCAGATATACACTTCTCCATTTTTCCTCTCTTATCCTCTGTGCACAACATTTTTAAGTAGTCGTCTTGTCGGCGCGCCTCGCCAGCCTCTGAAAGGTCGTACTACTCTGCTTTTAGTGCACACAAGCTCCTGCCACCGGCTAGTCTAGTAGTAGTATCTTTTTCTTTAGAACAAAGTACATACGCAGGCGGCCAATGAGCACCTCCAAGAGATTGAGATTGACAATGTCAACATATTCGTCTCGTTGTCAATGAAAACGTCTTCGCTTAATAGACGCGCATTGCCGGAATCCTAAAATAAATCAAGGAAAATATGATTAACAGGAATATAACCCTGGTGGACTGGAATATTCGCGTCCTCCTAACCATTCAACCACAGGTTGGTTTGTAATCTGATAGTATTTTTTATTTCTGCCGGTGCACCATAAATGCCCTCACACACCCCCCTCTGATCCAGCTCTCATGTAGTTTGAATCCATGAGGTTTATCTTAATTTTATGGTATATATCCTGAGTAAATCTAGATTTTAATATTTTTTCAAAAATTGTGAGACCCAAGCTAGTAAAGCTGACATCTCTACAGTTTCAGGTCTACTGTAATTTTTTGTTTGTTAATTTGGCTGATACAGATAATGATCTACTCTAAATGGAAATGTTATGGCAGCTAATCTCTTGCATCGATACAGATAATGATCTACCCATCTTTTCTTATTGTTGGTTGCAGGCTTGCAGCGTCTTACACCTGTGGACTGGCACGTGCATCCACATGCATAGATGCGATCAAATCTTAGCCTTTGCATGGCTATTATGGCAGGTCACACGTGCATGCACATGCACAGATGCGATTGCAGCCCGTTATCCCAAGCATGGCCGTGGTTGTAGGATGGGATACCCTCCAATACACGTAAGTCATTAGAAGAAATACTTTACTTTAGCTGGCTTATCAATATTTACCCAGGACATATAAAATGTGTTAGAGGATCTTCAAGAGATCTCCTACCTAGTTGTT